AGAATTCTTTTTCGAAAACAGTGGGTGGGTTTTGAAAATTCTTCCATCATTGATGTCATACAAAAAACTGGCCTTGGGGCAACTCTGAGGTCCAGAACGGAGCATGTCAAATAGTCTTGAATTGGATAATAACTGTTTTAGACTTTCAATTAGAGGGATGTAGTAGAAAGACTTGTTTTTGATTGCAAGAACTCTAGATTCTCCCTTTTTAACTCTACAGGCATACTTGGAAATGATGATCTCCTCAGGTGTAACGGGATTAAAATGCATCTGTGTTGCTCGGTCCTGTAGGTTTGTAGTTGCACATAGCGGAAAGGGATCCTGAAAGTTGTCCAGTGTTGAAAGAACTTCTTCTTGTAAAGGTCCATTGCTGTCAGGATGTCTTTCAAGGATGGTCTTCATTTTTTCTCTCAAGGACGTCAGAAGAGCTGTTTGATATTGCTGGACACCAAGGACAATGTTGTTGACACTCCTCTAATGAAAAAAAGAAACAAAAAACAAAAGAAAACAACAACATCAGAGACATGAAAACATAAAAATACAATACTCAATGACTGGCTTCAGCTCAAATAAATGAAATGTAATCAAGTTATAACCTAAAATATTGTTTATTAGTATTAATTAATAATGATTGATTGTGGTTCTGCACTAGGTATTTGAGTACATGGTATAAATGTAGGGCTGGGCGATATGGCAAAAAAAAAAAATCTCCGATTTTTTTACACCAAATCCGATTTTTGATTTTAATCGATTTTTTTTCTATTTAAAAACAAACTACAACTGACAAAGAAATAGATTTTCCTTTATGCAGTTTAATCTAAATCCCCATGGAGCATAAGTGTAACAGGAATTAAGCCTTAAAACCAAGCCCCGGCGATCCAAGATGGCGCCCTATTCAAATGAATGGTTGTGCTCAGTGGCGCTTTGTGACGGCATGGGGGCTGAAAGATTAGCGGAAGTTGCCTGAAACTCGCAAAGATCTATGGGAAACTCGCCTGTATTTGGGCATAGTCTGGTCCTCCCGGTTCTGCGCAGTGGATGATCTCCCATAATGCGTTGCGCCAAACACGCGTGTGTGGGTCTCACACCAGGTCTCACGCACGTGCACAGAGGGGCTCGGCCGCGCTCTGACCAATCAGAGCAGTTCCTCAGAGCGGGAGTTAGAGCGAGAGCCAGACGAGCAGAGTTTGTGGCACTAAAGTGTGGATTTAAACAAAACCAAAGGATTTAAGAAGAAAAAAAGTTCAGGATGACAAGGGACACTAAAATCCCCACAAAATCCGATCTTTATGAAAGCTGTAGGTTCTCTGTCAGCTGAGGTTGAGCTGTTTTAATTTGCATTGAGTTTCTATGGGGAAAATTTCTGGGTGGCCCACGTGAATTTAGTCTGGTTCAGTCTGCAGTACCGCGAGAATCCCCTGAGCACGTGAGTTATTCAGCTACAAGCTAGTAATACCCTATCCAGTTAATATAATACATCCATGCTTAAAACATGCTTGTAAACGAGATGGCTCTGCCATTGTAAACAGTGAAAATGTAGCTTAACAGTTTTATAATAACTTCACTTACAATGACACTATGCACCTTCAAAATAACTTAAATCACACAAACAAGGCCCATCGCAAATATATCAATCCTATTAAACACATGCATTATTTACATGAAATATCACATTTTTTAAACTGATTACTCAAAATAGAAATGTTGTAACAGACAGTATTTTCCAAAAGCCTCCTCGGGTTTTCATGCTTGTTCTTTCAACTGTGCCTGAGTAACTGTGCTGTAGTACAACGCTCGGTCCAGCTGGTGGCGCTAATACTAACTTCAGTGACTCCCGCATTGTGCGAGCTTCCTGTTTACATTCTGATGCTGTAGCTAACAGCTACTGTAGCAGCTACTGTAGCAGCTACTGTAGCTAACAGCTACTGTAGCTAAACAGCTACTGTAGCTAGCAGCTACTGTAGCTAACAGACAGCGGGGAACACGTTGTTTGTATCAGAGCAATGAGAACAATGTGTGAGACGTGTCTTTCCCCAAAGTGCAGCGGCTCAGTGGGACACGAGTGTGTGCGCGCCACGGACACGGGAGTGCGCTTTGGAATAACGAGCGTGAGAGAGCGTGAAAGATGTGGCGTACGAACGGAGCCTGTGTGTGTGTGTTTTGGCGATTAAATAAAGTCTGATTCTTGAACGTTTGAAGTGTTATTGCAACAGCACCAACTGTGAGAGCGAGCATCAGGCCAGAGGGAGACTGTTAGCATTAGGTTAGCTTCAAAATGACTGCTCAACACCATAGACCCGCGGTTTTAGCGCGTTAGCGCTGTAGTTCTGCGCTGGAGAAAATAAAAATCGAATTTTTAAAAAAGAAATCGCCCTAAAACGTAAAACTCGAATTAATGATTAAAATCGATTATCGCCCAGCCCTATATAAATGTAAAAACTTAATGCAAGAGTGACCTCTGAGGAGTGTGAACTTTATGTCAATATTATTTATTTGTAGTAAAATAATAATGATAAAATGCTTTATTGTTAAAAATCAATTATTAATTCCAGTGAACTAGACTTAAGAATTGTCCACTTTTTTCAAATTAACAATGACACCCCCCTATTATTAGATGAAACGGTACCTGTGATAGGTGGCATTGCTCACGCACACCAATAGCAAATGCAGCTGCACATCTGGCAAGATCAACAGTTTCTCTTCCACCCTACAGGTAAAAAAAGAAGACAATTGTGTAAGAAAAATAAGTAACTCAGAATGTGAAAAAAAAGCAAAAAAAATAAATAAATACACCCAACTGTTGTATCTTTTTGCTATTTCAAAATTCCTACGAGGAGGCATATCTAGTCAAGCTGCAGATTTTGTGAAAAATGTACGACTTATTTAATTAAACCTCAATCTTTATGGAATCTACTCTGGAGTTAATTGAAAGAAAAAGCAAGCTTAAGTTGAAAGCTCAAGTTCATGGAGCATCCAACCACACCCAAGTCAGGTACACAACACCAGTAAATAATGAGTTAATTTCTGTTTAATTATCTTAAAAAGGTCTACTTTAAAGATGCCAAATCGGCATTAAGTATTGTAACTAAGCCTACTTTGCTTTCCAAATCTGAGTTTCAGCAGATTCCTGCATTTGCATTTCAATACTGGCATTCTTATACTAAAAACGTTATACCTATTTAATTATTCTTATCAAGTAGCTTGATAAGTAGTAAAAAACACACAACTTTAATCCCTTAACCCCCACCTGAACCAAGCACATTTTCTCCAGTTTGGCATTACCCAAATCTAAAAACGTATTGAAAAAAGCGTCAAAATAGTAACGAAACACGAGGATGAAAGTACTGTACAACAAAAAAGTGATACTAAAGTAAAAAAAAAAAAAAAATAATAATAATAATAAAGAAGCGGGGGCGACAGAAACACAATAAACACACGGAAAAAAAAATACTATTAGAAAGTGATGAGAAGGCAAACAAACACAACACACACTCACACACAAAGTACATTACCTGATTCTGACGCGGTGTTTGAACCTCAGCTGGGTCTTTCTCCATCAAATTCTGACCTTCCTGTAGCTCCTGCTCCAACATAGCCGACCCATCTGAGAGTTCTGACAGTGACTCTGGCTCTGCTTCAGTGGCATTGCCATTGCTATCAATTTGTCTTGCTTCGGTAGTATAGTCGGCAAAAAATGGCTGTACCAAAACGTTTCATGTCCTAACACATCTGCATCGAATGAAGCCGTCAGCCAACCTCTAGGAGGGTTCCCTGTGGCGAAGTATTGTGGATGTGTGCGCCTGAGATGGTAGTAAAAAGAGTTGAAAACACGGTATTCCTCGGCGCATCCATCTACTCCACAAATAACACGGAAATCCGGACTGCGACTGTGTGCAGTATTGATATGACTTAAAAGAGACTTCAGCGTTAATGCAACAAAGACGAAACAAATAACGCACCTCCAGCAGGCCATTGTATTGCAAGAAAGTCGCGCAGAAAGTGTATTTTTTTGATAGTCAAGTCCAAAAGCAACTCCAGTGTCTTCGAGCCTGAAGTGGAACATTTACCACCGCTAGTTTGGCATATACCAACTTGATGGGGGTTTAATCCAAACTGTAACTAAATAAAATGGACACAAATAAAGTAAAATAAAATAATACACATCACTCAATGAATAATTTGACTATATACCCAGTTAGAAGTAACCAAGCAATTGAATTTATTCAATAAAAAAATGTATGTTGTATGTAGGAGCCTCCCAGTGGTATCACCCGGAATCAACCATGTTTACCCTAAAGGGTGTGCGTAATTGAATAAGACACAATTAAACAATTAAAGCAAGTTATTTTAAATCAATTCAAAAGAGATTTACACATTATACTGACTGTTTTATGAATGCACACATTAATTGATTGGATGTAGGCGGAAAAATTGAGATGTGCACCCCCTTCGTGTTTCGTGTTGTTACCCTACACCATTTGAATTTGCTGTGTCACAGTCACAGGCGATCTTAGCCACCGTCGAAAGAAAAAATGTACGAGAACACTTCAGCAAGAAAGAGAGGTAAGCAATTTGGAACATTTGATATACAAGCAGTGTGTAGCCTAATCATTGTTTTAAATTCAAGCAGAGAGAACAATTAATTTAATTTCATTTGGGCGGGGGAGCGGCTAATGGAGCATGCTAACAGATACTAGCGTTAGCTTAGCAGCCGTCGCACATGGTTCAGAGAACATTTAGTAAATTAGCTATAACGTTGATATTGGTAGGATTTCTAGCTATGATATTGATGAGGGAAAAGTTAGCCTTTGTCAGTCTTGTATTAACTTATCTTTGACCCATTTCCTGGCTACTTGAATTCCCTCACAAGGTCTGGGTTTAAATTTATATTTTGATATTAATTTGAGGTGATTAAAGTTGGCTCAACCCAGTTTATTCAGGAATCAGGTTAGTTGATTATATATTTTGTAAGCATATTTTGTTTTGTAGGTCACTGAGCAATGGAGAAACTGGATGAAGTAACCGTATCCATCCTTAAAGGTTAGATTATATAATATATTTGTGTATATATATTGTATCGCCACTAGTTCAATTCATCTGGCGTTTGTCTTTATTAGCTGCAAGCATTGACGAGCGAATGCTTTTAACATTGAACCGTGATGATCTGAGGGACCTGTTTCCTGGGCCTGAGCACTTTATCAGAAGAAAACATGTGTGGTCAATAATTCATCCTGAGGTATTGTATACAAATATGTAGTTAAACTAATCTCAAGAAGGTGTTCTTTTATTTTTGCAGTACTTGACATTATTCTTTTTTCGTTCTAAACCAGGAAGACCATCCTGTACCACAGAAACCTGAAACAACTTCACCCAGAGTTGCAACAGCCAGCCCTCGAACTGCTGATGCGTATAAAAGCCCGCTGAAAACCTTGCAGCTACCCAGTCCTCCGGAATATGTTGTCTACACAGACAGTGAGTTGGAGCAATGCCGAAAGACCTACTCTGAATTGGCCCTTGCTGGCAGGGAACATGAATGTGTCATGTCAAAAGAACTGAGATGCAGGCTGGTGAGAAATACAATCACAAGTATGGTGTCCCTTTTGAGAGCAAGCAAAGACCAAATGGAGCGATACCCCTCTAAGACCGAAATCACTGCAATGGCAAAAAGAATTGTGGAATATTATCCTATGCTGCAGGATCAGGATACTAGCGTGAAACATGTAAGTTCTTTTATTCGTGTCTCCTTCATAGATCATTTTGTTTTGTTCAATAAGCATGTAATATATGTATTTGTCACCAGGAGAGCATTAATGCCAAGTTGCAAAAAAGGCTGCAAAATATAAAAAACTCCAACCAAAAAGCAAGGACCAACACCTGACAGGGGACGGCCAAAGAGAAGGCTCACTGACCTCTCTCCGAGTGATAAAGAAGCTGATGATGAAGATGCTGATTGCAGTTCTTCCAGTGGTGCATCTACTCTGCTGTTATCGCCCGCCAGCAATTCTGATGATGCCTCCACTTCATGTAAGTGTATACATGTAATTTTGTAAAATGGTTGTCAACACAGTCGTTTACAGCTAATGGTTTGTGGATAAGTCTATTTCTGTAACTATTAAAACTGAAATGCTTTTGTACCTCTCCATCTTAGCTGACAAGGATAGTCTGCTAATACAAGCAAGACATTACAAAACATTACAAGAAATGTGCAAGAAGCCAAAACCGAACCAAGATGATGTGTCCCAGCTATTAGACCTCGAGTTTGAAGCCAGAAGAGCCTTCATTGACTCTGACTCCATGAAGGAGGAGAACAGAGCGTCACTCATCTTGGATGCATATCCTTGCTTCAAAGAATTGCATCATGTAAGTTATTGGGGGAGTTCAAAGTGTAGTTCTTTGCTTTCAAATGAGGCGTTACACTGGCCTCTAGGCTAAGTCTTTAGATTTGGATAAAGCTAAACTGGAGAAAATGCGCTCCATTAAAATGGGGGTTTAGAGGTTACATTTCAAATGTGTTGCGTGTGGTATTTTACGTTGTTATTATTATTATTATTATAGTATATATTTTTAAAACCTCTGTTTTTAGGCGTTGGGTGAGCTGCGCAGAATTTTGGAGCCAGAAAACAAGAAGTTCATAAGTCAGATAAAACTAAGATGGGAGGAATTCTGCTCCAGGGTAGAATTCTATGGCGTGTCAAAGAAGGCAATGAAGCCGCCGATGACCATGGACAAAAGTAAGTATTAAAATTTGAATACCAAGTACTTCATCCTTTGAAATGTAGGTTTATGAAGGTTTGTTTTTGCTGTGTCCAGCTGAAGCCCACCTTGCATTGATGAAGGCTCTTCCAACGCTCTTTCCCTCACCTGCCCATCCACCAAAAAAGATGGGGACTCCTTGTCAAGCGTTTCTACATGTCCTGAAGGTAAATTTTGTATAATTTACGTTATAGAGATGGACAACAGACTCACTACCACAAAATTAGGGAGGGGCTATGCAAAAACAAGTTTTTATATAGCATGTTACAATCTTGTTCTTATTTGTCTTTAAATGTGTGCCATATCTTTTGTGTCTTGCAGCCTACAGAAGATCCAGATTCTGTCCTCCAGAAACGAAGCTTGCCATGTCCAGTAGTGGTGTTCGATGGCAGCAAGTGTGTCATTGCAGTTGGTAATCTGCCAATTACAACATTTGATAAAGAAAAACTTGGTGAGGCTATGATTTATGTGATGGCATACTTTTATGCGCTCCATCTGACTTATCCCAAATGCGTGGCAACCCTGCTGTCTGTCATTCAGACAGAAGTTCTCCAGGATGCCATTCATGAGGGTGACACTACATCATCTTACAGAAAAGCCCTGGCAGAATTCCATGCATTTATTGGAAAGTAGTTTGTAGATTTCAGATTAGATTATGGGGGGGCACTTATCTGGTGGCACTGTTGTTTAAAGAGAGTTGCACATATGACCAGAGATCAGTTTTTTTTTTTTTTTTTAATACCAGTCAGCCCATTTTATTTCAGGTTTCAAAAAACATTGAGATTAGTTACATTCATTGTGTCTATAACACTCAAGGTTCAGTTGGTCAGACACGAGGATTAAAGATGTTGCAATCTTTGATTGTTGATTGTACCAATCAAGTGTACAAATAAACATTGAGAAAGATAATGCTCTGCTTCAGTTTTATTTCCATTTGCCCTGTACAAGAAATATAATCTTAAAGTACTAGTTTTAGGATTTATTAGCTAAATTTAAGGAATAAAACAATCTTTAAAATGATTAAATGTACTAGTTTTTAGATTATTTGCCTTGATTTGTTCCTTATAATAAGTGTTTTTAGATTATTTTAAGATTCAATTGTCCTGATTTGTTGCCTAGAAAAAGTGTTTAAGGCTTATTTTAAGATTTATTTGTCCTGATATGTTGCCTAGAATAAGTGTTTAAGGCTTATTTTAAGATTTATTTGTCTTGATATGTTGCCTAGAATAAGTGTTTAAGGCTTATTTTAAGATTTATTTGTCCTGATATGTTGCCTAGAATAAGTGTTTAAGGCTTATTTTAAGATTTATTTGTCCTGATATGTTGCCTAGAATAAGTGTTTAAGGCTTATTTTGAGATTTAATTGTCTTCATTTGTTGCTTAGAATAAGTGTAAAATACTTATTTTTAGCTTTATTTAGATCTAGATAGTTATTCTTGTTTTAAGAAATCTTGGTAAGAAAAAATCACTTACTGCACTGGCAGATAATTTCACTTGTTTCTAGTAAATTTTCACTAAAAACAAGTGTATTTATCTAGTATTAAGGAAGTGGGATTTTGCAGTGTACTGAGACTAAATGATTAACTCCACTTAATATTACTGATATATGACAAGCAAAACACTAATTTTTGAAGCAATGTCCCACACTTTAACACATTTTTTTTCTACAAATTACACCCTTAGTTCTGGCCAAATAAAACAAATGGTCATTTACAACACGCCTTCATTATCGCTCCTGAGTTTGGAAGACCTTTTAACCTTTAGACCTAATTTCCTTTTACCCCCTGAAAGCAAACAGAGATCTAAGCAAAACACGACACAAGGTACATCCAGTGTTTTATCCTGATGTTGTGTTCATTTCCTGAGGTCTAAACACAGTTATAATGAGATATCCAGTCCTCCCGCTGTCCTCTCATTCCATATGTTGTAGTAGCTCCCACTCTGTTATTTTATCCTTAATTAAGAATCCTTTTACGGCCTCCTCTACCTCTTTAGCAGCCAACTCTCAAAGCAAATAAACTTCACCTTGTGTTGTAAGATTTTATCATTTCTCTCTTCTTGTTTTTGCAAGGATAATGTTAAGAGAGTCATCTTTGTGAGTCTTTGGTTCTTGAGAGGAAGGAAATGAAAATGTTTGCATTACTTTATTGCACCAAACTCTGCAGCAAAAGCACAAGATGCACTCTTTGTTGAAGCAGTTATCTTCAGGGACTCCCAAACTGCCCCCAAGCACATGTTTTTCAAAATCTCAAACACATGAAATTGAATTAGAGAAAAGTGTGCCAGAAGAAATAGCTGTCATTGGGACTATGTTCACTTTCAAAACATGATGCAAGACAATATGTCACACCATTTTGGGAATTCTAAAGGCTCTTTCACATCCTCCAATTACTTAGATAAGCGTCAGTGCATTTGTACTTCCATGCGTTTCAAATGTCAACATGTATGTCATGAAAGGAACGACATTAGGACATTAGTCATCTGCCAATTATGGACCAATTTTGTCGCATTTTTCATGTTTGAATTGTTTGATTTTCTGATCGATTTTGGCAAATGGACAGCTTTGTAAATTCCTCCGAGATAATTTTGTTTGTGATGAAGGGTCGTACGAACTTAATTGATCAAGAGAGGAACTAATTGAACTGCATGTGGGTAAACGGGGCAGATCCAGGCGCTCCGGGTCAGGGGACGGCTTGCTACGTCTCCTCCAATGCTCGGCTAATGTGCTGCACTGTTGCTAATTTCACTTTGCAGCATTCAAACAAGTGCCATGGGGTAATAAGTGGTTTAGAGGTCGCGGCCAAGTTAATTTGGCCTCACTATTATTTATGTGACACATTCAAATGACAGCCTGAGATTGTTTTTTTATTTATTTTTTACAACTATTGCACTTGAATAGAACACACTTGAGTAGAAAGAATCATACCAGAGTACAATAAAAGAAGGCATCATTAGTCTCAAGGTGGTAAACTTACTTGTATTAACTTGAGGTATTAACACAGGGTTTATGAACCTTTATTCCCTCTACTTTCTCGTGTCCCCGGTTTGGACTTTTCCTCTGCACTGCTTTGCTTCTAAATTTAGAAAAAAGTGTGAATTGTTTTAACAGCTCTTACCTTTTGGTCTTTTCCGATTGAAACACAATGCTCTCTGTTTCCAGGCAACGGAGGCCAGCGGATCTAAAGACAAAGACAAAGCAGCGATTACAAAATGCGCTCGTAACATCACAATATTATCACACAACCAGCAAAAAAAAGGCGGTGACCCTCTGCAAACGTGCTCTGGCGGCTTTCATTTCAGTTTTAAGGCAGAAAAAAATCAGTTAACATTTTATATAACAATGTTGCCATGACCCCAACCCACAGGTGTTATAGTCCAAACAACATTGATATATCGTGACCTTGGAACAACCATTGGGAGTTCCCCGTGACCCTAAAGACCTGATCACTTGAATATTTCGTCTTGCCTTTGTCCCGAGTCCATTTGGAGGAGCTCAGATTCATCACTCAATCTTCATCATTGTATCGTTAAATGTCGATTACTGTGTGAACTTTCATTGTGAAAGGACGTGGAGCTGTGCCAAGCTTGTAATCTGGATGAATGTGTTGAGACCAGGAGCTGTAATGTACAGCGTGAGAGTTTGATTTGATTGGGACATAACCGTTAATTCATCATCAGAGTCTAAAATTAGATTTGGTCAAAGAACTGCGCAGGAAATGTGTTTTGAGAGCAATTTTTGTTACACATACCTTTGTTTTCCCACATGCCTTAGCTCAGGCATGTCCAAACTCAGGCCCGGGGACCAATTGCGGACCTCTGTGTAATTTGCTGTGGTACTAACCCAAACTAATCCTTGAGAATTGAGGCTAAGAATTGTCAGCAGGATTTCCATTTTATCCAGTCACATTAATATAAACATGCAAAAATACAAAGAATATAACATGTGTCTGGTTGCTATAGTTACAATCTATGACACCCAAGGCAAACTATTATATACTGTATATATTAGACATCTTAACATTGATCTTAAAGTTCCAAAAGAAAAATTCAGTCTGATCAGAAGAATGAGCCTTGTCACCTTCCTTGTCAGTGAAAATGTCATCACGTCAAAAACCCCGCAGGTACTGCTCAGACCATAAACCAAAATTAGCAAACAGTTGATCTTTCGTCTGAGCTAAAATTAAACTCTGCCGAATCAAAGAAAGAGAAAATAAATTGTCAAAGAATGTCAGTGGTCAGAGGAGCCGGGGGAGCTACGGTATCTCATCTGTTAGACAAACAAACATGGATCTAAAAACAACTTTGAGAGTCTATATGACAAGAGGAATCACTATTATAAGCTGTTAACTTGTATGTTCCCCAAGCACACAGCACATGTTGAGGTTTGCACCAAATGACTGAGGCATAATGTTGAATGCAAAAAACCTATCTTTTGAATCCGAGAACATAATATAGTGAGTGATTGACAAAAATAATGAAGTGTATCTTCAATCAATCCTTTAACATGTTTTTTCAGAACCTAAACAACACAAATCAATGTATGGACCAATGGATCCCCACTGAATCAAGTCTATACAAAAATAAATGTAGTTGAATCGGAAAAAAATCGGGGGCGACAGTAGCTCAGTTGGTAGAGCATTGGCCTTAAGCCCAGAAGGTCGTGGGTTCAATCCCCACCTCTGCACCTTCTCCACCGACTCCCACTGATGACTGCTGTCGTTGTGTCCTTGGGCAAGACACTTAACCCCACTTTGCCCAAAAGCTCCCACTGAAAGATCAAGGCTATGCTCACACTCAGAGAGCAGCCATCCTCCTGTGGACTCACCACCTGCAGAGGGTCAGTGAGGGGCTGGTGCTATGAGACTTGGGTGGCATCTCTGACTGCCACCCCCCTGACCCAGAAATGGATTAAAGGGAAGAAAATGGATGGATGGATGGATGAATCGGAAAAAACATATAGATTCTGGATGTTCTATAAAGAGGTTTGCCAAAACAAATTAGTTTCTAGAGAGGAGGCCCCGGAGAAAACCCTGGACACGCTGGAGGGACTGTGTCTCTTAGCTGGCCTCGGAATGCCTTGGGGTCCTCCTGGATGAGCTGGAGGAAGGAGGGCCAGCTCCACTCTGGGCTGCTCCCTGGACTCTGTGGAGGAGGTGAGGGACAGGAGGGTGCTAGCCAAAGCCACCTCCATAATGAACAATACCTCCCACTGCACAGGACTGTAGAGGAGCTGAGGAGCTCCTTCAGTGGAAGACTGAGACACCCTCAGTGTAGGAAGGAGCGCTACCGCAGGGCCTTTATCCCCACCGCTGTCAGACTGTACAATAAGTCACTTTAAATGATCACTGTGTGAAAACCTGCACTACTATTGACACTGTTTCCAATTGACACTTGTCACTTTTGTTGTACATAATTATTGTCACTTTTATTGTACATATATCCTGCATGTAACATGTTTGCACATTTCCTCCTTTTGCACAATCTGAGTGTCTCTATCCATGCCAAATGTGACATGTACATTTCTCCTATGTGAGATAAATAAAGCAAATCTTATCTTATCTTAAGTGTGTGTGGATAGGGAAGTCTGGGCGTCTCTGCTTAGACTGCTGCCCCCGCGACCCGGTAATGGATAAAGTGGAAGAAAATGCTTTCACACAAATACACACACGTGTTTTTCGCCTCTGTCACATCTTTGAATCAGCTTTTTCAGACAGACAGGTAAGAAACAGAGGACTACCTTGTGTCAATAGTGACTCAGGGGGCTTGTATGCAAAAAATCACATGTTCACTCAGACATGTCACAAAAATGTATATTTACTAAGACTTTATGTTGGGACAAACCAATTTACATAATTGATTAAATCAAAAGTTACGTGCCTCAGCTTTAGGCAAAACTAACTGACGATAGCAGTTAAAATATTGTACAAAGCCATATTAACCACTTTCTATTAATTCACCCAATCTTTGCCAACTGGCTCAAAACGCTTGTTTTTGCTGCTCCAGTGAATCTGCTCCAGAGATCCTCTTGCTTTGATTGGCAAGTGAGCTCCACCAGCACGACTTCATACTTTATTCTGCAAATACAAGTCTCTCTTTGTTTTCCAATGTAAATAACGTCGATCATATATGCACTTTAAACCTCTGGGAACCTGCCATCTCCACTGTACCGCCGAGAGCCGAAGTCTTAGCAGCTTTAGCATAATCCTCAACAAGTCTCTGCTTCTCCTCTCTACTGTCCCTCTCTGTGGAAGTCTTTATCAGCCGGGAGCAGATCTCAGATGGGCAAGGCAGTCTGGACGTGGGACAATATACTGTCACTGTATGAATAATTCAATAGTGAGACTGTAGAAGGAAATGCCCTGAGCTGGTCTCTCTGTGACGTGGATAAATCAGATAATAAAACAGGGCTCCTCCGTGGGACAATGGGCCTTTGTTGGACCAGGAGGAAGCCGGTTTTGTTTTGGCTAAAGGCGTGAATAGAAAACAGAGCAAAACAAACGCTGACGAGATTTCTGGACATTTTCACTGGAAGAAAGAGGAGTAAATTCACTTAAGGATATGAATTGGAACATTATGGTTTGGATTAGGACACAGTGGAGTTTCAGGCGGCTTCAAACAAACTCCGAACAAAGTTAAACCAGTGTTGACTTTCCACGAGTGACTTTCAAACACTGCACATCCCTGACCGCATATACAAGACGTTCAAACATTTAGATTTTGGTTTTGCTGCTGATGCTACTACTACTACTATTACTATTACTTCTACTACTGCTGCTAGTCCTATTCCTACTGCTACTACAACTACTACTGCTGAGCCTGCTACTAAAGCTACTGCTGCTGCTACTTCTCCAACTACTGATACTTCCACTAAAACTATTGCTACTGCCTACTCTTACTGCTGATACTGCTACTAAAACTACTGCTACTACAACTTCTACTGCTGAGCCTGCTACTAAAACTACTGCTACTACAACTCCTACTGCTGAGCCTGCTACTAAAACTACTGCTACTACAACTCCTACTGCTGATACTGCTACTAAAACTACTGCTACTACAACTCCTACTGCTGATACTGCTACTAAAACTAGTGCTACTACAACTCCTACTGCTGAGCCTGCTACTAAAACTACTGCTACTGCTGTTGCTACTTCTCCGACTGCTGACACTGCTACTAAAACTACTGCTACTTCTACTACTACTCTTACCTTTGGTACTTCCACTAAAACTACTGCTACTGTTGATACTGCTACTAAAACTTCTGCTACTGCCTCTGCTACTACTCTTACTGCTGTTACTGCTACTAAAACTATTGCTGCTTCTGCTGCTACTACAACTCCTGCTGCTGCTGATGCTGCTACTACTACTTCTGCTGCTACTGCTGATGCTGCTGCTGCTACTACTACTACTACAATGTTTTTCTAAGTCTCTAAAAATAGTGAAAACTGCAATCTAATTTCAATATTATTATTATTTTTTCAAGTAGAAACAGAGTACAATTAAAACAGAAATGACTCCATCCCGGCGGACTGAGCCTGAGGCAGATTCACATTCCCTGCAGTCCCCCGGCTGAGAGGGAAGAGAAACAACTCCCATACATACAGAAGAGACAACACGCAACAACAACTATTTGTGTATTTTATACCATTCTCCTCTTGTTTACTTTTAGCTGAGAGCAACAGCCCTGATATAATGACGCCCAGGGATCCACAGAACGGCTGCTGTCAAAGTACATTTCTAACGGCTGTTTATGAGCCTGTTTTATACTCAGTGTTTCAAAGATGCAGCCACAATGACAACATGATTTACAGAGTTTTTCCAGTGCTCCACCTCCACAGAAACAAATCCAGGGAACCTCCAGCACCAAGCAGAGAAACAGCCCTTTTCTGCATCCATCATGTTGCTCCAGTTACCACTTACTCTCCAGGATATATAGGTCCCAGTCATTATAACGTATGGATGCTAGGGCCTCGATGTATGGATATTTACATTCATCTTTATTACAAATAGGTCTCCAGTGTGTTGCCTCCGCACACCTGTGAGGCAGATGTAGAACCCATTTACAGTTGAGAAAGAATGATTGTGGAGGACACAGGGAAGGTCTGAGTTCTATTTCCTAAAATCTGGCCTCAAATCAATTTGTTTTCTAACTTTGATTGTTAGCACAGCTTATTTCATGCTTGATTGATGTGAACTGGAACCAGGCTATAAGTTGGCTTGAAATAGCTTTCTGATTTTTGGACTTATGTGGGAGAGCTCATTTGAATGAAGTGTAAAATCAATCATCTTCAAACTTGGTGGACAGTTTGAGGCACGTTCCTTTGCACAGGAGTCGCACTGAGGAAATGCAGTGCGATACTTCAAAGGGCAGGAAAAAACCTTACATGACCTGGAAATGTGGACGTGTACACCGCACGCTTAAATTGGGACGTATGGAGACTTCAAAGACACAATTCTGCGATAATCTGATAATAGACAATAACAAACAGTCAGGAAGCTCTTTGCTCATGCTCCAGTACATGTCGACGTTGTTAATTTTGTTAAAGGACAATGACAATAAAAATCAGAGAGAATAAATTAAACAATATATTCTTTGGGAACATTGCAGCTTGACTTCCTTGATTGAGGCCAAATGTGACCATACAGGAGCGTTCCAAGTGCTGTATAAGTTTGATTATTATCATCATTATCTCTTCTCAGAACTGGCTTTTTGGGTTCTCTGTGATTCGCTCTGGCAAAAAGTTCCGCCAGGATTATTCTCAGGATGTGTGTGGTCTCCATGAGTGCAACCTTCTGCACTTCTGATGCATTTTGATTCCCAGGAGCTCTCTTATGTTCTTTTAAAATCCTTTTTTGATGGTGCCAAGAGCACCTACAACCACTTTTGGCTTTGGTTCCCCACATCCTGCTGATCTTAGTCTCATGATATTTGTTCTGGCTGAGATTCTCCTTTTCTGTCACCATAACATGATCGTCATCAGACACAGCAAGGCAGCATTTTTCCCTTTTAATGTGGACAACTATATGGGGTCGATTGGTACAAATGGTACGGTCTGTTTCACTGGTTGTTTCTGGGACATGCTCGTACCATTTCTCTGTCACGTTGCCACCAAGTTGCTTTCAGACTGACCAGTGATGCAGCATGATATGGCTGATCACAGATGTCTCCTCTGCTTTGCTGCACATTCGACACTTGCTGTTTATGTTCAGGATTCAGGATTTTGTTCTGGTGGTATCTGGCGTTAAGTGCCAGATCTTGAGCTGCAAAAGAAGACTCCCTGTCTCTCTCCTTTCAACCCAGAGCTTCCCATCCAGGCAAGACTAGCGTCTTTATCAACATATACAGAGTTATATTCATTATTTTTTTATTTACAGAATTTAATACTTTACCCCACAAGGAGAAATTCAGGCGACCATCAGCAGCTGGTTCAGACAGATACAGTATAAACTGTACATATAAACTTAAAAAGTATATCACTAACTCACATTTCTAAAGTCGTAAAAGAAATATTTTTCTAATGGTAAAGCATCTGTGGTGTATCATGCTTTTAAAAAAAAGATAAACACCTTTAAAATGTAGTAATGCATGAGGCCGGATCACTAAGGTACGCTTGTTTAACTGAAAAAGGTTAAAAAAAAAGTTGATTTGGAGAACTTCTGCTATAGCTTCAGACCACTCTTTGCAGAGTAATTGGAGGCTTGGAGCCACCCCCCCACTGCCACAAACTTTCTAGAATCCATGTTGGGGAAAAAGATTAAATTAAACTTTTGAAAAGCTTGACAAGTCTTGAATTGCCCGGCTTTATTTTTAGTGGGAATAAAAACATTATTAATTCTGAAGTCTTACTGAAAGAGATTACAGCCTGTGAAGAAAAGCTTTATATTTGAACGTGTCCTGAGAATGTACTGCTGCGTTTGCGCATTGTACTAATTCTAGTGAGAGAAAGGGATTAGAATATTAATCTGTGCCAAGAGCTTTAGAAACGTCAGAACACCCAGAACCCGCCTGAGACAAGTCCATACAGCCATTAAAAGGAGATATCAAGCAGCACAAGCGGAGTCATTATTCCATCAAGATAAACATTTACATGAACAAAATCACTGTTTGTATAACATTTTAGGGGCTAATTGTGATTGAGTGCTTTGTTACTGAGAGCAGACAGAGCTGGCTGCATGTACTGGCACAACAGAATGTACGTGAAATCAAGGGTTTGGTGTGCGTCGTTTTTGTCGAACTGAAGGTCAAAGAATATGTTGAAATTATTATCCACTGTAAATATGATACATTAATTACAGTGGAATTATCAAAGACTGTATATCCGGAGAGGACTGACCAAGAGCTGATGTCACTGCATGTGGCCGATTTCCGTATATGTCTTATAGTTATTCTGACAGAGTTAGCTTTGCCCCTTAATTTCGGGAATACGTGTTGCTAAGGCAAGTTGCGGGAAATCTAGCAAATGAAGGCATCTGATTGGTCAATCCTTATGGCTCATATCTGGATTTACAAAGATACTGAAAGGATACTGAAATATGAAAACCATGATCATAGAGAGATTTAAATCACACCTTTGCCCAACGACGGAAACTGTTACTGAGCTAGAGGAGTTTAATTTTCAATGCAAGTCAACAGGATCCAGAGTGAGTTGGAGCAAAACTTCATGATCACTTCCCTTTTGGGCTTAGTATGTACTGTATGTATATGTATCTATATGCCGCCGATGGGCACTACAGATGAGTCAAATGTGAATGTAGAGTTGACGTGTAGTAAAAGTTGCACAGATCATGTTTTTCAAGATTTAAACTGAGGGATAATCTTTTTACAATGTGTGTATTGCGTTTATAATCAGTCCCAGTTTGAAACCAACACAACAAGAGCACACTGTTCCACCAGTCAGTCGCTGAATTCGGTTCAGTGAAGTTATGAGGACTGTTGTTTTTCTTCTGAAGTGAACCGAGGCCACTTGACCTGAACGTGCCCAAAACTAATACCTCTTTTTCATTTAATATTCAAGTCTTCACATGCACATCCTCTGCACGTGTTGAGATTTTGCTATATTTTCAGTTCGGCAACATTAGCTGGTCCAACCTAGCTGGTCGCCAAAGTAGCAAACTCAATTCTATACAGCGTCCTGGCTCTAATACACATTTAGATTTTGTAGTGTATATAATGGTGTTCTCTTTTGAATAGTTGAGATTCTCTGCTGCCTAAAGAGTGAATGAGTAGAATATTTGGACATATTTCTCTGGACTCAGAAACAGAACACAGATGATTTTGATTATATCTCGTCATCTGCACACAATTGTCACTGGTGCGTTCACTTTACAGCTCACTGCAGATATTTTATTCTTCCCATCACTATAAGCCACCTGCTAATAAATGTGCTGTAAATATTGACTTTCTGCTCTAAAGTGGTTTTGCTTCAACATTTACAGCAAATCTGGCTTCTTTTATTACTTTGCAGCACAAAATAATCATATTCTTATAAATCCTTCAGTCTGAGCTTTTGTAGATTCAATCCTCTCCATCCAGTCATTCATCACAGAGTCTGGCTGTGCAAATGTACCATCTTCATATATCTATCATTCACAACAAATATATTAGATTGACTGATATATTTATATATTAGTAAGTGGCTCAAAGTGACGGGAAGAAAACCCACTCTGGGAAAAAATAAAGGATCTTTTATCTCATCTTATCCATTGTTTTTGGAGAGATGGACAACTTTCAAATATTAGGGAGGCAAAATGTGATTGGCCTTTAGACTTGTCCTTGGCCTGGTCCACCTAATACTGTTTAGGTGGACCCAGTATTATTATAAAATGGACAAAAAGTAACTGGAGAAGGACCACTGAGGATCAGGGTACAATATCAATCATGACATATTGTTTTTGAACTTGCATCAAAATGCTTATGGTCACTTAGAAATGTCCAAATGTTCGATCTCTAAGGACATATAGTAATTAAATGGATCAAAAACAAATGAAATAAACATGATCTTGAATGATTTGTTTGAGTAATTAAGTATCTATATTAACGATACCTTTTGTTAATTTTGTTCACTAATGCAGGCTTTTACTGACTCACTGTCCTTTCTGTTGTGTAAAAGTATCTTGGAGACCCCCTGCTCCAGAAAGATCTGCCCCTGAAAGTGATCCCAGTGGAAACATGGTCCTACCAGAAGCTCGGCTCAGTCCACGCTAAACTTAAAGGCTCTTTTTTTTAAGTAAAAAGGCCTGTGCAACGCTGCTGAATCATTCACATCCAGATAAGAAAAATCAGCAAACCGAGTAAGCCAAGGCTTCGTTGAGGCAGAATAGAGTCATATAGATACATTAAACATGCAAGAATCACACTAATCACAACAAGACGTATGTAAAAGACTTTAGAAAACAACTATATCTGGTTTAAAAGCTGTGAATGATTTGTTTGCATGTTCTATCTGCTTTGAATATAATCCACAAACAGATGTCATTCTCTTCCATCACTTACACATGTCCACAACAAACAGTTCCACTTGGATCAAAGCAAAGTGGCTGACCTCTTTTGACTCTTGCCCGGTGGGTTTGAGCTGCAGTGAGTAGAGCACGTCCTTCCCCCCAACAAACAGCCGGTCCCTGTACTCGTCCAGAAGCACCGCGGACACCCAGGGCTGCCCCTGCTGTGCCTGATGACCACTGAAGACCAGCGAGCGGTTAGAGGACACCAGGTCTGAGGAAAGAAGAGCAGGACACAAGTTATAACACAGGGAAATGATATCAAAAACTGAATCTCAATCTCAATGACAAAAGACTGATCCAGAAGCAGCTAGCATATAACTTTAGCTTGCTTCATTTGCCTTTAGGTCTTGGGTACCTAACCTCGGGTACATTTATCGATCCATAAATAACACATGCTTCAAACATCCAGCATGAAAGAGTAAAATTATTGATCGATTTTACAGTGTCAATTCTTTGTTTTATGCATTTTTTCGCCTTCTTTTGTTTATGTACTTGTCTTGTGCACACTGGGGACTTTTGCGGATGTATTCCAATGTGGTTTTACTGCAAATGGCAAATACATGAATCTGAAGTCTGAATCAAAATGTTGTGAACAAATCAGACACATAGATTGGCTTTGTCTTGTTGTAAAACCTGTTATTGTTTGAATACTTGACAGAAAGAGCCATGTGTGTCACTTTTTGCAGCTTTGGGATGAGAAAGCTGATTAACTGAGTGAGGGTGGTACTCTCTTTTTCACTTCTATGCCTGAAAAAGTGGATCTAAATAGAGGCGATAGAGGGCAAAATTACATACATGTGAAAACTAGTGATAGAAACAAACGATGGGAGAAGGCACATTTTTTACATATGTACATGTTTGTAGTTTGATAGTTAGTTTCACCAGCTTTATTTTACAAATTTAGTGTCTAAATGTTGGAAGTTGAAGCACTTCTCTTTGAATGTGTAAATGCACATGTATTATTGTTGCACACGATAAGTTCCAGCCTCTTCACTTCCATTTTCTGAGCTAAACTATTTAGTCTGTGTTTCATCAGACATTGCTCTTACATCTATATTATTTTTTTGTTGTTGATTGGAGACTGCATAGTTGAAATTACATGCAAACCCTGAGCATTAGAAGCGGAGTAGCCTGAACTGTGCTTCACCTCGGATGGTCGGCCTCCTGCAGAGATTTGAACCATCACCGCGTCGTGCTGTGAGCTTCTTTCGTGAGAGCGGAGCCAGGTGCACCCCCCTCTCTTTGTTATTGATCCTTCTGATTCAGACCAGGACCGTGGGGGGAGCACCAGGCCTCCTCACAGTAGCACCCAACCATTTGTTTTTGTTTCTGGAGCTATTGGTTTTGATGTTTTGGATTAGAGCATGAAGATGTCAGCTGAGTACTAGCTGGATTGGTAATCAACGCAGTGATTGAAATTCTAGACTATTTTGTTTTTTTTACTATTTTGAAAGTTGGGGAAACCGGAGAACGTGCAAATGTGCAGTTAAACAAAAACAAAAAGAGATTCAGAAACATCTTCTACTTATCACCAGGAGCTACAAACGGCAAAGTAAGTATGACATATCTTTCCCAGCGCTATTCAAGAGTTTAATGGTAGATTTTCTTTTGTTGTGAGGCAACATATCGCCTCCTCGAGAACATAAGAACACAGTGTGAGTACAGGACATGGTTAGGTAAAGGTGCACTATCAGGAGCAGTGGTCGCCGTAGTGCAGCACTCGGGAACCCATCTCCAGATGATGCTCCGTTGTTCAGGGCTACCAGAGCAGAAGTATTCCACCGGCGTGCATGTTTTTAGTGGTAGGGGAAACCAGAGCAGATACAGGCAAATTTCAAATTCCACTCAGTTGTTCCGACTAGGATTTGAACCCAGGACCTTCTAGCTGAGACACAAGAGTGCTAACTACTCAGCCACCATGTCACCATAGTTGAAAATGGCTCATTATCGACTTTTGGAGCACCCTTCTCCTCCAGCCAGAATCTAAGTCCTCCATCTGGATACCATTCACCACATTCAAAGAGTGAAGTTTACTCAATATGACAATCTGACAATGTTTTAATAAACTACTTTTGTTTACAGACCTGCAGCTATCTTTTTTATGTGGGATGGCAATACACAACCCAACACTAGACCGTTTACTAACTCTCTGGTTCAAGTTAGTCAAAAAGTTAGGAAGCAGCAATATAATCTGGTCCGTTTGAGTTGGAGTCACTTGAGTTGGAGCATAATCCACATTTCAATGATCGGACGATTGCGATGGCGCACCATCACTCTAAATGGCAGTGAATAATTTATGAGACATATGATTATTACACAGATGTAACTGTTATTTCACCAGGAGCCTGGCAGATTGTGGCTTTTTGAATCAGGCCAAATTGGACATGTAAGAAGATCGCTGAGTTTATTTGTTGTAATCAGGAGAGCAGAGGGGTCTGTGTTGGGACAGGTGGAAACGCACTTATGACTAATCAGATCTGAAACCAGTCTGGCCATTCACCACCCTCTGTTCTTTCCACAGGACTATTAGCTCAAATTTTCCAGCAATTCGCATTATTCACATGTTTTCAAGATATGGGAGCATTTAAGAATATGGAAGCATTCATCCTTTCAACAGGATTATAACTCCATAGAATGTTTTATTGTGGATGAAGTCATTTCAGATCAGGAATTTAATTGAAGCTAAACTAAAGCAGTATGCGTGAGTTATATTTTATTTCTATTTTGTTATGAATTCTAAAGAAAACGAAAAGCAAAAGGTAACACACCAAAATAAAAAGGTTTTATCAATCCCACCCCACCCAACCTAACCTGGTCGTACCACACCATAGTACAAATCACATTTGGTACTAAGGTCTGGATTTGTTCCATTGAGCTCCGTTAACAGGTGGAAGGGGTTAACTCCTTTTGCAGATTGAAACGATTGGATCTGAGTTTACCGTGACGTATGTAAAGCGCGCCAGTGAGTCTTTAGCATTTAGCATTTAGCCTAGCCATCTCCTTTGCCGCTAACGAAGCCCGTGGGGAGTAGCGCCACAATCTTTGCCAGCGATTACATTTGCTAAACATTCTTCTTGCTCCGGCTTCAATTTCTTGATAGAACCATAACAGAATATTTTATTATCGCATTCTTCGCCTTTGCCAAACTACAACCTGCCCGTTTAGTGCAAACTCTTGACGTCACCCACATCTAACAACAACCCCCGCCTCCCGCGCTCTCTGATTGGTTGGATGGAATTCATCCGATTGTAAACGCAAACACAGGGACCAGACCCAGACGTTACATGCAGGAAATGAAGATTGAGCGGAGTGTACAGAAGGCAAAGGCCCAACCCAACCCAACTCATACATTCACTCATTAACTAACTAATCTGTCAAACAAATATTAACTGCTCTTAGTGTAGCCCGCATTATCGTCATCATCATAATAGTTTATTTTGTTACATTTCCAAAAATATTTTTCAACATTTATGGACTAGCTCTGTGTGTTTGTATTTTCTTCAATGCCACAGTTTTTGAGAATCGTTTGCGCCTTGTCCTTGAAGACCACCAATTTTAAACACAAGAAAGAACCCACTGAAGCACTCACTATTCTGTCGCACTTTCAGACTGGAAGACTTCAATTATTCAGTTTTTATCATTTCAGTTTAAGACTTCAGCCACTGGTGAAGTCTAAAACTGCACTGAGGTATAGTCTGCTCATATTGACCGGTCTCCGCTGCTTCTACATTCCCCTTTACCAGCGCCATCTGGGTTCATACTTCACCACCAAAGTCAGCAGGGGAATAGAGATTTTATATCTTCATTCATCTGCCTCCAAGTACTCATTGCCTCTTTCCTCGGGTCGATAAGCACCAAATAAAATATCTTCTTATATCAACATCTGGTCGGCCCAGTGTCCGTCCAGATTCAAATAAAAATGATTGGTTAACTGGATTCATATTGTTTGGTTTTACAGGCCATTGTTCTCTTTCAAATAGTAAAAAAATATAAAACACGATCATTGTCATTTTCTTTCCCCTTATAGATCCATTTCTGGGTTGAGGGGGGCAATCAGAGCAGAAAATCACGATTTAAAAATGGAAAATACCTGATCAAAAGGTGACAAACACCCAGAAATACCTGCAAACTATATGACCTTATTATAGCTGCATACAACAACTATAACAACATTACTATATGAACCAATACACGGCTGTACACGGCACATTAGACACATAATAGGACTATCAGTAAAAAATAAATGTCCTTCTGTTAATTATGGAGAGCTTCACTTTACAGTAGATCCCAAGCGAACCCATTAGCTCATGGCCAAACTGAAATAATGAGGGAAAACTTTCTAACTAATGCAAGAGAAATAACGAGGGAGCACAATGAGAGAGCGGCAGGGATGAAGGATGAATCTGTTTAACTGGAGATAAAGTCACGGGCAGAAACACACACGCACACACACTCACACACACACACATAGACACGCACACGCTGCTCCTCTGTGACGCCTGATGGAGGTATTGAACCTGACACCAGCTGCATACTGTGGGATGAGAGCAGCTCCTGTGTCTGGGCCTCATTATTAGGACTGAGAAAAAGTCACACGGAGCCAAATGTCGTAGTCAGCGCTGGTGTGGGTGACAAGGCAAAGCTCTGTACAATATGTGTGTGTAGATTAGGGCTGCATGATTCTGGCAAGAAATAGAATTAAGATTTTAACAAAAAACATTGGAGCAGTGATTTTTGATAAGTAAAATCAGTAAAACGGATTGTAGAGAACTAAACTAGAAACATATATTTTACACTGATAAGAGTGGATACACTGTTTTTAATGCACGGTAAACAACTCTCTTTAAATGATGCACCAAACTTTATTTTTTTCCCGAACTGTCTATTTTAATCTGTTTTTAACCCGTCACATTCATGGACTGCAGGATAAATAGACCTCGTTTTTCACGGTTAACTTGTTGTAAATTCTTAAATGTTATTTGTGCATTGCTGTCACCTGTGGTTCCTCTGTCTGTTTCATGGACGCACTGGTGGGACGCAAAACCCTGACTCCCTGGACCGACGGGCACAACCGTTGGGAGTTGGCGGTTCTGTGACGCCCCTCGAGACGACTGTTGTTGTGATTTCAGGCAATACAGATAAAATGTATTTGATTTGATTTGATTAACCGTGGCCTGGCCTTAGCTATCCATAAACTCTGGTCAATTATTA